CTTATTTTTTGTAAAAGAACATCATGATTTATTGTGTTGAATGCCTTCCTAAGGTCGATGAAAATATCAAATCATTGTCCAGTTTTTCTGCAATGTCAGTAAACCAGGTAGGGTAGGCCAGGACAAGTTTTTCACAAAAGCCAATTTAGGTGTTAATAAGTACCGGTATATGATTTTGATCGAGAAATTCAATAAGTTGTTTGTTCGTTTGTTAATATGACCACAAGTATTTCAACAGTTTCTACCAATCTCAGTTCAAAAAGTCACAGAGTAATACAAGAACTGTAAAACTGTATCATACTAATTCAACCTCAATTGACGCACTTAAATAGGTCTTTGTTATCTTCAGTAAAATGATTACCTTTCGCACAAAATCCAACTTTCCTTTGGCATAAGAGATCACTTTGAAAAAGTACTAACAGGGACTGTGTCATATTCACTCCCTTGTCATTCATTATTTCATAGCTTGTTTAAAAATGGGCAAGTTTACATTAGTTGTGCTATGTTTTTATTTGTGTATGCTTTATATGCCTTGTTTGTCAATATTTTTACATATACCATATGTGACAATTTTATTTTATGTATACTGGATTTTTAAAATATGATTTATTATGATTATACCTGGCATTTACATAGCTGTATGCTCATATTGTAGTAGGTATCTACCATGGTACTGAGTATGCTCAAGTATATACTCCAACAGCAGGAGGCACAAATCACAAATTAAATACTGTAAAATACTTTATTTTAGCTAGATTTAATTTTCACTGAGAAGACTTTTTGTGTGTTTTTCATGGAATTTAATTTCACTGATTTTTGACGAGTTGGATGTAAATTTAAGGGAAACAGGTATATTCGCTGGATTTTATTTTCACCGAACCACTCCTTCAGCGAAAATAACGAAAATTAATTCTAAGCGAAAATAAAGCACTCGACAGTAGTATGCATTTGAGTTTTTGTGTAAACAAGGTATTGTACAGGGGTTGTAGTCATGGCATGGGAACACATTGAAAATGGTGTGTTGCGATGTGACCACTGCCCTGCACTGCTAAATGTCATTCACTGAATATTTAACAAGGATAGAATTTGAATTACCTGACCGGTTTATCCAGTTTCCACAAACTAAATTTAATTGTAAACAAAGAAAGATTCTGGGCGTAAACGTGCTTGATGACAATACAAAATATCACCTTTTAAACTTACTGCAAGGAAAGGACATTTTTAGAAAATGTTTCAAAGGGGGTAGAGCCTTGTGTTTGGCCTGGAAGCTAGGTTATTTCCGTTTCTTTTTCATCTTTGAACTGGGCTCTTCATCATGAGCAGCTGCCAGTGTTGTTGGATTTATTCTAAAAAAGGCTTAGTCCCGCATCACTGATTTAATTGAACTGTCTTCTTTTTTTTTGACTTTATTTGAATACTCTGAGCTAAACTTAGAATCTCCAATGTTTATTAACCTTCTCCTAGGTGAAGGTCAGCTATAAATAGAATCATATTTGTAATTAAACCATTAGAGTCGCATCTTTACCAGTTTCATGTGAAGTTATTTGACACTTAGGCAGAGAGAAATGTCAGTGACCCGTACAACTGAACGGGCGGTGTTTTAACGAGGATGCTCTGCTGTACTGACGGCAATCAATCACCACCGGATGGCACCACAACATAGTAGCCGATTTAAAAGACGTAACCGCAAGAACTTTAAAACTGACATTCCTAAGATTCTTATTTCGTTTATTTTACCACCTCTGAGATGCTGGTACAATTCGATTAACAGTGTATAGATATATGTGGTTTGGTTTGATAACTCCTCTTATCTCTGTGGGCTATAGGTGATGTATACTGTAAATAGCGTCTGTTTATATTTGCATGCACTGAAATATTTACAGAAAATACTTCCATTCCCAGGTGCCAACCTTCAAAGTATGTCATGAAGTATCATTCCTTGTATATTATTTTAAGAAGAGGCAGATATTTTTTCGTTGGGTATTACATAAACTAGTATTGTTTGATCAGACGAATATCAGTATTGCAATACTTTTAGTTCAAGTACAATATTTTTGTTATTGAGCATTATCTATGTAAATTAGTCTACTTTGCATAGTAAAACACCAACCTGGATAGTAGGACCAGGTATTTTAAAAGTACTTTGTACTGTTCATAATATTGATTGCTTACTTGTACATTATAAGAATTTAAATTACTGTAAAGGGGGTAATTATTCACTGGGTTTTAATTTAGCTTATTTCGCTGACTGGAAAAATGCGCTAAATTAAAACACAGTGAATATGTAAAATTTAGCATAGAACACATTATCTAAATGACGAAACCTTGAATTTAAAACCCATTGAATATGCCTGAAATGGTAAATCAGTGAAATTTAAACCCAGTGAAAATTAGTCATTTTACAGTAGATTTCATGGTTCAGGTAATTATGGTACTCATGCATAAGATCTACCATTCCCTTTAATAAGTTTCAGTTGGTGAATTCATTTTTAAGTCTTTGTTGTATCAATGTAAGTCCTTTTACTATCTAGTATTTGTAAACTGCAAACTGTGGTAGTCTTCGTTAAGTAGACCAATATCCTGGTAGATGATCTGATTTCTGTTTCTACCGTTTTGCATGCATGCACTGAAACCGGCATTTAGTTATAGGCCAGATATCCATGACCTTATTTTTTGTTCACTTAATAGTGTGTTTTGGTTCTGCTTTGTGATTGATTTTTTTTTTGAAGGGCCTCAAGGAAAGTGCGTGAAATAGTGAGAAAGCATGTGTGAACAAGAACTGAAATATAATACACAATAATAAAGCATTTCATTAGATGGCATGACTAGAAGTGGTATAATTACTTGTGTCATGATCTGCCAAAGGTGCAATGACCAGCTCTGCATAATTTTTAGGTCAGGTTCTGCACTGTGATTGGACACAGGTTGTGAAATTGACATGTGTCACTCACTTCATACTGATTAGCATTGTTAAAGTTCTGGCAAGTCTCCTTGACCCTTGACCTGCTAACTTTTTTTTTTTTACCATCACATCGTGGAGTCCAAGATATACATATATATATATTTGTCCTACTTTTCTGACCCTGCTCTGCTAATTGTCACAAACTATTTTTGGGAGGGGACTTGCCCTTTTTTTTCTCCCAAGAGAGGCCATCGACTTGCATTCTCTGCACAATGTAAAACTGCCAAACAATAGTTTACAGTGACAGATGCCTTGTATACTCTAGTTTAGTGAATGATGGGAACAATCCACGGGTTTGTTCTGTGGGTATTTAAATGCATGAAAGAGAAAGATTGTTTGTATACTGCTGTTTATATTAGTAGCAAATGAAAATTATCCACTATTTCACTTTCTCAAAATGCAGAGATACACCACACATATGTCAAATTAAAGCTGTATCAGGGGTTGAAGCATGTGAACCTGATCCAATTCAAGATAGAAACCACATCAAGTGATCAATGAGATGACTGATCAATGTCAATGAGATTCATAAACATTGTATTGGCGCATATACTGATTGAGCAGTACCGTAAAATCTGTATTAAAAGCCGCATTCCTCATAGAAGTCGCACCCATTCTTTTTGAATAATTGAGAACCAAAAAAAATCATCATTTCTCATATGTGTAGATGCTCTAATAGAAGCCGCATCCTATCTGTTGCATTGTACCATTTTAATAGAAGTAGCGGTTTCTAATACAGATTTACAGTACTATGAATCAAGTAGATACTGTATTTGCTCTATAAATCATTCATGAAAAACAGACTCCAGATTGTTTATGGACAATATAAGTTATATTTTAATAGTCCTGCATATAATAAATTCAATTCTTTGTCTGGGTCAGCTTCTTTTGGAGAATAGCTGGTTAATCCTTGTTCGAGCAAAGTTTGACATGGGAACTTGTAATTTTGTTGTCTGTGTGCGTGTTTAGAGTCATTCTACTTCTAATTAACGTACATATATCCATATATACATTTCCTGCCAGGAGGATGAATTGCTAAAATATTAGTGTAGCAGAAATTAGGGCATGGTATGTGTGTGAACAAAATTTGGCAGAAAACTTACTTGCTTGAATCACTTTACCACATTAGATTTGTGGTGGTTATAAACATTAGTTGTACCAAGTAAAAATTACTGTTAGCTTAATGACAATGCTGTCAGTAATAATGTCATGGGCATAATACTGTATTTGCTGTATTTAAAGTGCATACAAGCCAAGCATGAATTATTTGTTTTATTTTATATTTTGAGCACAGAACATCTCCATCTTTCAAGTGCAATGCACTACTAATAAAGCAACTACAGTATTAACAAACAAACAAACAAAATGTTGAGAAATACTTCTGATCAGTCTACTCAAAATAGCTTCAACCTTTAATATGTTTGTTGGTTTGGAATCTCTTTACTCAATACAAGTTTTTGTTTTTATTCATTTCCACAGTATGCCAAGTTGGCAAAGAGTATACATGTACCAGGAGGCGGTGTCAAGAAACCAACATCTGGTGCATCAGAAGGCGCGATTGGTGATGATAATGAAGGAGAAGAAGATGAATACGCTGGAGGATTATGTTGAACGTCCCATCCCATTCACACACTGTCAAATACCGTAGTACAAATGACATGACTTGATTTAAACCACCGAGTCGGACCATGCAGCTCAGGTCCTAACTCTGTATGTGTACTGTAGCTAAACATAAACCTTGAAGTCTTGTTGTCTACTATATTTTGTCTTTACTCTAACATATGTTACTTGGTTCATGAACCATATTTAAAATTTACAGCGTTTTGGTGTTATCCATGTCAGGTTCTACTAAAGTGGAATGTCATTCTGCAAATAAGTTATCAAGACAACCTCAAATTCCAGCTTGCTTAGCAGTTTTATCTTCACTAACACAACTGTTTGTTTGGATTAAGTAGCAACAGGAATTGTCATATAAAATCAAAATGTGTATCACAAAACAATCTTAAATGCTATACATTGATTTTTGTAACAAGGTCAATCGGAAAATCTGATGTGACCCGGTGACAGTGACTTGTTATGCCGTGAATACCATTTGATGTATGACACACATTACTTCATATTTCAAGGTGACTTTTAACAAATACCGGAGATTCTAGAAAAGCTAAGACGAGGATCAAATTTGCACTGACAAACAGCGCCCTCTATGGTCATATAAGTGTTAAAATAATAAAGTTTTTTTTTAACTTTGGGCAGAATATATATCAGATTTATAATAATTCCTGTGTGGTGTTGAAATTGAACTTGTGTATATTTGCGTACTTTTAAAAACTGTTTTAATATTAGTTAATTCAACCATGGGCAAACTGAAATATATCAGACTCTTGATAATTTCATTATTCCTGTGTGGTGTTGAAATTGTATATTTGGGTACATTTAAAAACCCACTCTGCAATCTTTTTTAAAACTATGTGATGCATGTGTAATGCAATAAATTAATATCGTGCGAAAAGCTTTCTTATCTAGAACTTTACTTGTAAATGTAAAGACATTCTTGTATTTTCTCCACAACAGGTGACATTGTGAAATTTAATATTACTGTATCTACTATCTTGGTTATTCCTCTTTATACTTGAAGCCAATGACCTTCTGTAGTTTGACACTGAAATGTAAATGTCTTGTGTATAGGAAGTCATTCAACTGTTTGTTTGAGTAGTGCCCTCCCCTCATGATACCACAATATCCATAGTAATAATCAATACTATTTGTGTGCGTATGCCCTTCAACCAAAGAATCCAAACGAGTGCTCCAATTCAATTTGATGTATAGTTTTAAAAAGATTTACTTCATATCTGGTTTTAGTTGTCACTACTAAAGACTTTTGAGAATGACATGAATTGAATCAAACTTGCATCTGATCCATTTATGCAAATTGTTTTACTATCACCTCGTTCAACATAATTTGCTGACTGGTTTGCTATGTACATCTTGAACTTGTTAAATCGAACCAATAGTACAAGGATGTGATGTTGGGCAGAATGAGAGGCAGTTCAAATGTACATGTAATTTATTTTTATTAATAAAAACAAACATGGTGGCTCTGTATTCTTTGGCTGTATGTTGCAGGTCTGGTAAAACAGCTAAGTTGAGAAGACATTTCTGGAGAGCTATTCTCAAAAGGCAAAATCCACAATTTTTTAGGTACACATTCATGTTAACACGACGAGCAAATATGCCCAGTAAACTGGTTAGTAAACTCTGTCTCAATGTTGGTTTGACCCAACAAGTTTTTATCAGATTACAATCTGGAGATGTGTGTAGAGAAAACCAGTCAGCAAGAAACAATATGGGGGCGACAGTAAAAAAGGCATTTACGTAAACTCCTTTTTCATGATAGATCAAATGACGTGATTATAGAATTACAGCAAAATATGTAAAAATGGAACTATGAAGTATTTGCGATGTGTAATATTTATTTCGAATTTAATAAAATATATGCTGGATTATAAATTCAATGCTTGTAAAATTATTCATTGTAAATTGCTAGCAGATACAGATTACTGCACAGTCCTGCTTTCACAGATTCATTCATGGTCTTCACTGAGGATCACGGATGTTGAAATGCACAATTTGTCTCATTTCTTGTAATAAAATCCTTTGTTTGCCGGTCCATTGAATTGTATATGCCAGATTTCCCATAATAAGACTATAGAGGGCAGTATTGACATTTTCTGATACCAGTGTAAATGATTCCCAGTTCTTGGTTGCTGTAAGCGCTGAAAATTTGGCTCAGCAAGGCAGTCTTCCAACTTAAATGGTGGATCTTAGAATATGTAAAACGCGATTTCATGAGGAAATTTTTTTTTTGCTAAAACTTTAAAATCCTATTGCACTATTCGATAATTACATAATGCCTCACAAGGACACAAGTTGCAGATTTGTATATATTAAAAGATTCAATTATGCTGGAGAACTGAATTATTCACATGGGTGGCAATCCTTTAACTTCAGGAATATCTATGAAGGGTCCTTTTCTCTCAGTCCTTCACTCTTTCGTTCTTTACCTATTAATTCCAAGATGGCTGCCGCTTCAGGATCAGCATCCAGAATGCTAGGTTTATCCTCATCCTAAATGGTAATATAAAAAAAATTATCCATCAAGAGATATTACATAAGGATTAAGAATGCATCTTGGACTGGGATTTTATCAGGGTTTGTGGACCCTAAAAGGGAAGTCTAACAACATGGTGCTCTTAGATAAAAGAGCTCCACATATGCAGGAGAATTTTCATTCTTTGGATATTCAAATTCTCGAGGTAGACATCTGGGCATTTTCATCACATGGCAATCATCACTGTGAAAACAAAGGCCGAACACTCTCAGAAAACGGTACTTTGGGATAGTTGTTGAAACTCCCCTGAACAGTGCAACAAGATTACCCCTGCGTGTGCAACATATATAAATTTGATTGTTCGGGATTACTTCAAAGTTGAGTTTGTGTTGTTTTCTCGAATTTAGCTATTTTCACCAGCTCTGCGACCCGCGCTCCACAGCTGTACAGAGCCCATAGAAATACATGGTACAGTGGTGTGCGTCTTAGCAACGAGGAATGTCTTGTGACGTAGCTCCGCCTCCGAGGATAATCAAAATTATGTAGTCCACCATTTTGATTCTCCAGCAGTGGATTATGGGTAGGGTATGACAACATAACCACTATCGGTAGCATACCAATGTCAACCAGTATAGAATACGTATAAAATGGTTGACATGGCAACATATATGTACCTGAAAACAATAATTTTTACATTGTTCCACCAAATGCTCAATTCTTTGTATATTTTATACAATTTATTTAGGAGAATAGCTTATACAGGTTGTATAACCTGTTGACTGCAAAAACATTCTGTTTTCAACAATCTATTTTCAATCTTGCAGTATTTCTCAAGTTATACATGAAATAATTGGTAACAGTGATTACCCGTATGATGTCATATTTTACCCATAATGTGTAAAATCGAAATGGTGACTACAGATACTGATTATGAAGTTGAATATCTGGATAATAAAAAGTGATATAGAAAAGCAGTGAACTGCATTCTTTTCCATTTGTGGAGCTCTTTCTTCTGGAGCATACTTTTAACACATCACAGCTGAAGCTATTTTTTCTCATCAATTTTGGCTGTGAAGGCTTTCAGCAGACAATTGTTGAGGTATATAGATGGATTCCACTCATCTACTAGTAATATATCACAACACATACAAGTTAATATTATACATGACATTATAAAAATGAATTTATTACCTCTGAGATCACTTGGATTGGACCCACATGCCACACTTCCACAACATCTACTTGAAAGTTTTCTTGTTTTGAGAGTTGTGGACTGTCATACGTCGTGCACCGTGGTTTTGCCTTACTGCTGCCTTTGCCAAAATTGGCATCTATCCACAAACCAAAGTAATTTAATTGACCACCCATGCCCTGCAATGGAACATTTATAGAAATCATGTCAAACTTATATGTGGATGGAAAACTCACCTGACGACCGTTATTCACTGGTGGATTAGTTTGTGCCAAAGTTGAATCAAGCAAAATACAATACTGAATGTTTTGAAGCAAAGATGATATAATTGCAAAGAGCAATACCGTTAGTTCTGTAAAAGTATACCAAACAAAAAACTTCACTTCTGGCATCAACTTGAATATTGTAACATTCTCAAGGAAAGAAGTGAGTGGAAAATTGTTCCCTCTATAGGCCAAATTGAGAAAACTAGTTGAAGAAATGACATATGCTGTTATTAAGTCTTGCATATTATGGGATGGTGCACAACAAAAGAATAATTTATGGATTTACATACCAATCCATTGGGTAATGTTTGTTGATTCAGATTTATATACATGTAGTGTCCATTTCTCCCAGATGATTCGTAGACTTCCATTGTGGGATATAAACTGAATAGGAAACTAGTTGCATTGCCTGAAAATAAACAATACCAGTTGCTTATACCCATACAAATATGATAAATATCTGTTTTTGTTATTTTGAGTGTCACTATCTTTCTCAAAATTGTAATTGAAACCTGTGAAATGTATTCTTATATAGCTTTGCATAACAGCAGTACTCAATGTAATCCCATAAAAGAGACAAAGCCAAACAAGAAAATATTCTACCGAAGAGCATCATCATTCTGCCCCCATTTTAACTTAAAGAAATATGCTAAATATTTGACAGGACCACCAAAACGCAGTTAAACTGGATCTTGCGTGATCTTAGTACTGTGCCTGACAGCAAAGATGGCCTCTGACAGGAAG